AAAACCCTCATCCATCTTCACACAATATGCTGCAAATCTCCACGCAGTCTGCGTCAAGCAGTACGTATCTGCTCCCACTTTTATGGACCAAATTTTATGGTGGTGCCTCTCAAAATGGATACGTCAGTGACCCACAGGAAGGTTTTAATTGCACTTGTATTATTCCAAGGGCTTACAGGTATACTCTCATGTTGAACTTTGTAGGGCCCATTAATTGCACTACTGAGATGGATTCAGACATACTTGTGGCCCTGAGTGGTGTTTCTTTAGGAAACCGACACCGGTCAGGTGAGAATAGCATTAACAATGTAATACAGGGGACACAATTGTGCTATATGGCTTAACACAAGGAGCTATATACATGACCAAGGAAATAACTCATGTTCTGTGTGAAATGGAACAAGTATAACTGTCTGCGAGGAGGATCCCCTTATCTTGTGAACCAACCAGACTACGGTTTTATAAAATCAATATTAAAAATCATTAAAAAGGCCCATTAAATGTCCAACTACAGGCCCATAAACCAGGAAGAGGTCCAATCTGGATAGAAATTGAACAATGTATAGAAAGGTTTCATGGTAAAAGGTCTTCTTTTTCAGAAAAAGACACCTCCCCCCTTTGAAATTGCTAGCTATGGGTCTGAACTAAAAATTTCATGTTCTCTGTAAAATAGGACCAGTAACACTGTCAGAAAGGAGGGTATTGTTAATCCCATACATGAAGAAAATTTTAGATACTGAAATCAAAAACAACACAGTTTATTGTGAAACTGGGTTATTCCACCCAGACTCACAACAGACGACAAAAACTATTTCTACCTCAACTTATCAACTTAAACCTACTTTATTTTCATTCAGCACTTTGTTTTCTCTCCCTGTGTACGGATAGGATACACATACAAGGCTGAGAAGGTGCATGGCTGTTACAGCAACACGTGTTTGAATCAGGAAACAAGTAAAAATGGCAAACAACAGATAAGACATGGGCCATATGTATCTTCCTGGTAGCCATACACTTATATATAAAATGGCAAATGTTTCCGTTTGCAAACAGGAAGATACTTCCTACTGTGGGATGTCCTTAACCTGTATATCTCTGGGAGTTACGTGGGGCAGAAATCAGTGCACGTAATCTCACAGACATCCTCGACTTGTCACACAATCTATATATCAGGACTCGGGTCGTGAGCTATCTGCAAGTTTACATTTCCTCCACAAATACTCACTGTGTTTTTTCTCTTCTCCTCTCCCAGAGCCTTGTCTCCAGTTTACTAGTCCACCTGGTCTTTGTACTCCCCTGCATGTGTACGGCATTCCTCCATCTTCCCCTTGTTTCTTTGTTGGTGCTCACTGACCTTGCAGGCTCACCAGCTGGTGGGATCCTTTCAATTGCTGTTGTCTTTTTAACATGGTCCTCCATTTTTTAAGGATTTTTTGTACCGGTTGTAAGCACCAGCTTGACCCAGCTACAGTTTATAGACTGGAAATTAAAGAGAAAGTAACATGTACACACTGAGAATAGTGTCTTTCTTCATATATATCAGTTCAACTTATGCCAAGTCAGGTCAGAAAAGCTATTTAGAATAAATATGAGTTGATTGTGCCAAGTGCATAAGTATGCAGCATGGGGGGCCAAGCTGTCCTCCTTTGTGGCCGGGACCAAGCATTCCAGTGCTGCCTGCCTGTATTGTGCTACTTTCAACCAGTCCTACCTGTTGCATGTTTGCAGTGAAATTCTCCCTATGCATGAGGTGGCATGGAGGCACAGTTAGGCCATCTTTGACAGCCCTGCTGTCCATGTGACCTCAGAATTAAATTTATCAAAATTAATTACCTAACACTAAAATACACATTGTGTGGGGTTTTGGACCCAAGCTTCACAAAAGGAAGTCCGAAGTTGGTTTTCACTTTTGACTGCAAAAATTAAGTCAACTTTTATCTAATAAATAAAACAGGTTGAATGTTTAGTAACTGATTGTACAACAGTTTTTTCTACAACAGGTCTGTTGTCCTTTTTCAATAGGACATTCACTGATTGATCTTGGGCCAAAGTAGACTAAATTTCCTGTTTGAGTGATGAGATGAACATCCTGCTGAACTTTTCCAGTAAAACCAACCCCTGGTGGCATTCATATCTTCAAAACTTTGCATCAAATATAACAGTAAAACAATGCAGCAGGAAATGAACAGTTTTTCTTCTTTTTATTTCAACAGTCTGATAACAACTGCAGTGATTCCTCCCTTTGTGGATGTGTGCGAGAGGGGCCTTTAATAGAGGGATGGATGAAGGAAACCCAACTAAGCTTGAAAACAAAGCCTGTTCAATGTAATCTTTAAAATTATTTCAGAAATTGGCTTTGACTACAATATCCTATTCAAGAATGAGGGTGGTAGGAGAATCCAAAGAGGAAACTAGACCTACACCTTACTTCTGAGTGCCATGCAAGACCGCATTAACAATTTTTCAAATAACCCTAATAATGACAAATGGACAATAAAACTGCTCTCAACATTGTAATCAACCCTGCAGATTACTCGCAACTTCTATGGACCACAGGCTTGTTCAATTTGTCTAATACCAACTTAGCATTAAGACCCCACTTTCAATACATACAAGTGTGTTTCGATAGTACTCTCAACTTGACCAATTTACTATTCAGTGGCCAATAACATAAGTATTACTTTCCTAAGTGACTTAAAAACTTGCAGATAACTTAAATTCATACAACTGAAGCCGTCTGGTATTTCAATTCAACTAACCTTTTAAACGAGCACTCACAAACGACACAGTAACATGTGGTTGCACACAATGTCCTGTGGTCAAACGCTAATGTTCACCTTTGTCCACATGTCTACCGGTTCCACATGAAAATACACACTTCCTCTTTCTTTATATCATAAAGCAGCTTTTTTGTCCCATTTACATCTGCATGCAGGCTTCTTTCCTACCCTGCCCATGACTCACTCAGCATCAATGTCACAAATTAGGCTAAAGCATCTGAGACTTTTCTTTCTGCCTTGCCAGAGCACCCTGCACTATTTTGTAATCAAGTCTCACAAAGAGTCTCGTCTACTTTGTACAAACTTTTGACCAATGGGATTTGGAAGGGCAACATCACTTAACTTCAAACTTATCTTAATGATTTGTTTTTACTCAAGGGAAGTGATATTACAGTTCATTTTTGTTTTGAAGTCCAGACAGCTTGGTGGTAACATTGTCCACTGGGCCTTATCTGCTGCTGCTGGACTTTTCAAATAGTGAGGAGACCTTTGGGGATCAAAATTCAAAAACAAATTGTGCATAACCCAGGCTGTCAGGGATACAATCGAAATCAAAACTTTGAAATGAAACAGAACGATTCTCTCTTCAGCACAGTCACAGGTCAGGAAGAAGTGGGTACAGGTTGTCAGAAAGATGACCTGATAAGAACTTGATCACTGTGTGAATACTTGGAATCCGTGGCCTTTATATTTTTTCTCCAAAAATATCAGCAAAACTGTGATTACATTTCAATAATTTTATCACTTAATAATATTAAAGCAGGAGACTTCCTTGACCAAACACTTGAAATCAAGTAACTTCCCATAATAACAAATAATGACAATACAATTAATAACAATGAAAAAGTTTAAGAAACTCAGAACTTGAAAGACACCATAACATTTACTTATCAACCCACTTAAAATTGGTTTAACATATAACGCAACGGGAGCTTTTCAAAATGAAACAAGAAAGACATGCTGCAATTTTTGCAAGAAAACACATAACTGGGTGTCTGCAAAAAACAGCACTCACGAACCCAAGTTTATTGCATAAAAAAATACATAATCCCATTGTTGATAAACAAATCAAAAACTGGCACAAAACATCCTCGCCACCTCATTTTGCAGTTTATACAGATTTAGGCAGAGAATTGTCAACTCGCGGCTCATTGGAAATGATCTGACTGCAATTGCTTTTAAATTTGTCTTCTCTGAGATAAGTATTTCCCACGTTTTGACAAGATAACCTATAGGGACATGATGATAAAACAAAAGTCCTGGACATCATAAAAGGCTTTCAGCAAAGAATTTTTTGGTAGCAAAATTTAAACTGCATAACTTCATAAATTTGAATATAATTCAAAATTCAAACTATAAAGCAATACAAAATGCTCATGGACTGCTACTGATACATAGTGATACACAGGATATCTATAGTACACAGACTGAGAAACCTGCCTGTTTCAAAATGAATTTATTGACCCAGCTACTACGCACTAACTCCACAGGGACTCTTGCTGAATGCAATCAGATTAACTGACTGACAGTCCTCTTGTTTTCAAAGTCCTCCTATCATAGACCCCATTTTCAGAGATTAGATCGATCTACTTTAGATCGACCTAACTCCTTGGGGGTTCACGCTAAATAGCTGTCAGCCGAGCGGACACGAAAGTTAATTACCCCCTTACAGCTTGTAGTAGGTGGGACGGACATTTAAGCCAGATTATCTGACAGTAATCTAGTGAGACTCCCTGCGGGGATAGATCGATCTAAAAGCTCTGGGAATACAGCCATAAACAGCTTCTCTACATTCTGCTCAACGCCAGGAGGAGGCATGTTAATCTGATTGCATTCAGCGAGAGTCCCTGTAGAGTTAGTGTTGCAGTAGGGAGGTCGATAAATTCATTGTGAACTGCCCCAAAGTTTACAATTTCTATAAATATTCATCCCAAATTACAAAATTACCTTAAACGAAGCAATATCATGACGGTAAATTGCTGTACTCACTCTAGGATAGAACTCTTTTTATTTTCTTGAAAGTTGAAACCAAACCAACTTTTTGAGCTAAGGTGATGACAAATCTGGCAAAAACAGTACATTTGTTAACATTTCTCTTTAAACTTATAACTTTATTGTTTAGCATTTGACTCAAATATATTATGCTAGAATGAGTCCAACATTGTACCTCCCCTCCCTTGCCTTACTTACAAGGAATGGTCCTCCACAGATACGCTTGAAAATACTTTTTTGTCCAGAAGAGACCAGTAGTTGCCACAACCAGCTGTTGTATTCATCTACTACCACTTATGGCGGAAACGAAGATCCTTTTCAACCACTCTATTCATGTCACCATGTTGCCTTTAAACTCTTACTTAGTGCTGTAATTTGAGAGAGAAATGCAATTAAGCATAACAAAATCTACTTTTTTTCCCCTTTTTTGAAGTTCCAAACTTAGATTGAAAGCTAGGAAAAATTCTGTTATTCTTTGACTACAAATAGCAATGTAGCTTAAAAATTGAAAAAATATCAATTCATTAATTTAAAATGTAAAAAAAAAAAAATCAATCTGATTTCATGCAGCTATGCATTTATTCAAAGATCTATGTGAAATCTGCATTGTTTTCTTTTCCTCGTAACTTCAGGATAACAGTTAAATGTTTCTTGACCATAGCAACTTTAATTGAAAATCCACCTCTTGAGCTTTCCAATGCTTTAAAACAGGAATTACACACAGTTTAACAAAAAAACAGGGGGAAAGGACATTAATCGGCAATTTACGATAACAATTGGGAACTTTATGAGCCTGTACATCAATGAAATGGAAGCCGATTCGTGAAGTTGTTGAGTAGCAATAATTGCAAAAATGCAAACAAACAGGGCTATTACATCTGTTTTAGACAGGCAGGCAAATAAAAAAATATAAGTTATGGCATACATTTCAAGAAAGTCTGGAAGAAAATTGAGCCAACTTTTTTTTTCACTCAACAGAAGCTTGAAGGGTATCATGTAGATCCTACTTCTGTTGCAGAACATGATTTTTAAGATGTAGTTATACATAGCAGCTCAAACAGAAACTGACCATTGTTCAAAAAAACTTTATCTACAAACAAAAAGTTACACAAAGTTATTTTTTAGAAATAACATTCAAAATGTGCTTTGTACAGACTCAATGTTCAATATTTAGTAAACAATAAAGAAAGTGATGTCATAATACAAAGTGTGGCATTGTTTGAAACGTGGAATAATGCTTGGAAAAAAAACAAAAAACAGGTCTCATTTTACCATCTGCATCACATTTGCCTTTAATTAACATCCTTGACCTGCACTGTTTGATTTCAAAAATAAAGTGTCAAAGTTACACAATCTTTCAAGTTTCAGCAAAGAACAAATCAAGTGCATTTTACCCCCTAGAGCTTGAAAATCACAGACTGAAGTCTAAATATTATCCTACGATTTTTTGGTACTTCACTCTGTCTTGGTCTGGTAGGAAAAAACAATTGTGTAAACTGTCATAATTAAGGTGATAGGTGTGGTTATTTAATAAATACAAATGACTCAACCTAGCCATGGGGGGAAAAACTATGATTTAAATTTATGTCAAAAAAAATCACAATTTTGTCTAGAAATTATATCATCCAATAATGGCTCATTTTACACAACTGTACTGGAGGGATCGTTTATGTGTCTGCACCATACCTGTGATATCAATGACATCATGGACTGTGACAAAACAATTCAAAATCTTTTGTTTTTGCTCAACTGTCCCCCGTGGCCATGGATACATAGCTACAATCACTGGAATAAAACAATGGAAACCAATTACTTCAATACATACAAGTATTTATTCTAAAACTAATAAGGGATTGAGTGAAATAATCTGTTTCTGAAAATGTTGGGAAAAATCACACGCAGTGCAACAATCAAGAATGGCTGCAAAATTATTCTAGGCAAAAGGAAATACTGCAATGAGGCAAAAATAAAATGAAAGGAAAAGAGAAATACTCTTCACAGCTGCCTGTTTAACCATAAAGATTGCCTAATTTTCTTCAAATGACCTGTAATAAAGTCTTCCAGATGTCAAATTGTGCCTTGACCATATGCTAGTCTTGTCATCCATGTTAAATGAATACATCAAATCAAAGCATGTAAATGCAATATCTATTAATGCAGTTTTGTCAAAAAGTACAACAATAAGTTATTCCATTCTTAAATACATTTTCTATGAAAAGTCCACAGATGTCAGGGGTGGTAATAAGACTATAAGTATGCTGGGAATGAGATGCCCATACAGGGACGTGGTTAAAAGTGCTGGGGCACAAGTTTGTTAATTATGCTGATAATGGCCATTCACTTGTTAACAGCACGCTAGATGAAGAAGCCAAAAGTCACTCTGTAAGAGGTCAAATTTAATGAAAGAAAAGAAACATACCTCAATTTCTGTACACGGTGCTTTTGACATTGGTCTCTACTCCGAAGTGAATTAGTAGGTTCCCCTATGGAGAAAAAATAACAATTTAATGAGTATTTCAGAAAGTCATCTTCTATGAAGAAAAAAAATATAACACATGAGTGAGAGGGTCAACATGATTGCCTTCTGTGTTATAACGTGGTGACGAGGGCACTAAGGATGCGTCAGGTGACTCCTTCACACTCAAGTCACACTCCTCACATTCCTCACTGGGTACTTGACACAATCTCTATTGGAAAAATGGGTGTTTCAGTCCACCCACAAACACACGCACAAAAACAAAAAAGCTTATGTGATAAAAAAGCATACTCAACGTCACTCTAACATGTGCCACTTAACAGACCCTGTACTTCTGTCCAAATTACAAGGCTCCACACAGGCTTACGTATAAACACATCAGGAACCGCTATCAAATTTGGATTACTGGCAAATGTGTACCTCCAATAACATGATGAAGTAATGTCGAGTACATAATGGTTCCTTATAATGACTTTACTCCAGGATGTTGGAGTGACACCTCTGATGGCAGCCAGAGAAACCTGGGGGGTACTTTTAATTAAAAGGAATGTAACCCTATTGTTTTTTTCTTTTGTTTTTTTACCAATGGAGAGCAGAGTATGAATCAAAGTTTACAAAACTCAGCGGCAATAGTATAAATTGCAGGTACAAACAGTGCCAAGATCTCACATGTTCAGCTTAAATCCAATGAACGATTACATGATTGCTACCATATTGCTCAAATTTTATAGAACCAGTATGGTCTCCCAATTCTTTTTTTTTTTAATACTGCGACTGCCAAAGTTTTATAAACTTACTCTTTTATAACAATATAAAACTGGTGCACAAAGTTAATACAAGTATACAAGGATGCTGAAAAGAAAATCTGTAACTTACAAAATGTGAATGAGACATTCAGCTCCAGTTTATCACATATAAATTACTGATAATTAAAAAGAAAATTATTATTTAGTAGAGTTAACTGTCAAAACTGGTTAAAACTTTTATTGAAAAGGGATTAGTCATACATAAAGCAACAACTCTCATGACAACCGTCCTTTCCCACTGTAAGTTTTGTCATCCATTTGCAAAACAGTTGATCAGTTAATGAAGTAACAATGTGGATAAACTTTCAGCAGCTTACAAATTGAAGCTATTAGTGTAATGTTGATAAATGATCTGTCACATCGTGTGTTACACCCCATACAAGCTTACCAGTCTCTCACACCTTCTGGAGCCTTTCCAAACACCCATCAATATTCTTCACAATGTTTTCCATCTTATTAGTGCTTCACCTTCAATAATTATGCTTTGGTTACCTGGCACTGAATTCACTTACAGTTATTTTCTTATTTTATCCTGGTACACAGAGCATATGTGAAAATGCAATATTATTCCCAATAAATTTAATTATCAAAATATCATAAACACTGGTTTGGGTAATCTTCTTTCCCACAGTATGCTTTTGTCATCATTGTTAAAGTCTACCACACAACTGGGACTGTGAATTGTTCATATTTTTTTTCTTCCTTAAAAGATTTTTTTTTTTTTTGACATTTTTGTCCCCATCATAATCAAGTTAAACTGCAAGACCCTGGACCAGGTGGTCTACCATATCAAGGATTTTGTTTTGAAGACTTGGGCATATTGGAATATTGACTGTGGGGGACAGTCTGGATGTTGTACCAGTGCATATGTACTTCCTGCTTTCTCACATGTAAGTACTAAATAAGATTTTAGAGTTCTATACCATTTATGTTTGAACTGAAGTCCCAAATATTTTTATACAGCATGTTAACAGCTGTAACTTTGGGATACAAAGTTACATGCATAGATTAGTATCATATATTTCATTTACTTGTATTTTGTCTGTTTAGATATATCTATACTTGAAATAATATGATATTAACTTTCTTGAAAGATAAAACCATGCATTCTTGAGGATAAAGACGGGGAAAAAAAAACAATCAAGAAAAGTCCCATCAAAAACTTTGCTCACATACACCATTATGCAGTAACTTATACCTAAAACATCCTAAGGTGTCCTTGCATTCCAACTTACTAAAAAAATGTATAAAGAAAAGTGAAAACTGAAAAAATACTTACCTGCTTTATCAGGAACTTTTGAACAGTGCTTTTCTTCCCGCCGCCTTATTATCACTTGTGGAGCTTCTGTAAGACCAAACAGATACTTAACTGAAAAAAAGCTGTTAAATCAACATTGCATGATTTGAACCCCTCCCCCTATTCTTAACAAATAGGTAACAAAATAAATACGTCAGCCCCTTACGTATTAGCACCAGAACACATTCAGAAACACATTGCTCAAATTCTTAAATATCCAAATCTAATTTTCTGTGTGACATTGATGTCTTTGCTCCCACAAAAGCATCAAAATTTGTATCAGCAAAAAAGATGTTTTCTTTTTTCAAAAAATATATTTTCTTTCCATTGAAGAGCTCCTCTTTTGTAGGCAATTCTTTGAAGTTTGCAATTAGGGACCCCATTCCACCCATTCTGATACTTTAGTTGCAAGTTCAAATTCAATAGAAAACTTTTAAAATCTATGGTGGTGTAACCCGAACCTTGCCACAAACATTTTACTTTAAATTTCACACTTGAAAAGACTCCACAGGTGTTAACTGATCGAAACGTGTCCAAGGTTCTATAATTTGAAGCAGTGGATTTTTCTCTACACTTATTTAACAAACTGTTCATAATTTAACTTTGCTAACAAGGTGATGCCAAGGTAAAAAGCCCAATAACAAAATATCAGATATCTTCTCCAAATATTTTCAAAAATTATGTCATTTCAGATCTTACAAGGCTGTTAACAACACATGAACCAGGTCCCAAATGAAGCTACCCGTTCTTGATGTTGACAAGATGTGGCGAATAGTTCAAAAGTAAACACAGGAGGTGTTTATGCACGCGTTGGGCCAGTGTTTCTCCCACAATGCAACAATCAAATACATCATGGGGTCACATCTAAGGTGAGATGAAAGAGCATGCCGCACCAGGGTACAAGATGGGGATCAGCCCCTGAGCACATGACCAGTAGTTGAATATTAACACCACTCATGTGGTGATCAAAAAAAAAAAAAAAAAAAAAAAAAAAAAATGCTCCTTGATTGCAATCATGGATAAGATAATGTCAGCCAGTTATTTTGTCTGAAAATGGCAGGCCATACTGAATTAAACTGCTAAAGTGCACTAAAATAAAAGTTTTAACTGTTGGTCTATAGCATTTATTTATTTTTTTTTAATTTTGCAAATCGGGTCCATTGTTCTTATTTTTAAGGCAGACTACCATTGATTTTATCGAAGACTAATCTGTGAGCTCCTATGTTAACCTGGCAGCTGCANTAGAAAAATGGGTGTTTCAGTCCACCCACAAACACACGCACACAAACAAAAAAGCTTATGTGATAAAAAAGCATACTCAACGTCAATCTAACATGTGTCACTTAAGAGACCCTGTACTTCTGTCCAAATTACAAGGCTCCACACAGGCTTACGTATAAACACATCAGGAACCGCTATCAAATTTGGATTACTGGCAAATGTGTACCTCCAATAACATGATGAAGTAATGTCGAGTACATAATGGTGCCTTATAATGACTTTACTCCAGGATGTTGGAGTGACACCTCTGATGGCAGCCAGAGAAACCTGGGGGGTACTTTTAATTAAAAGGAATGTAACCCTATTGTTTTTTTCTTTTGTTTTTTTACCAATGGAGAGCAGAGTATGAATCAAAGTTTACAAAACGCAGCGGCAATAGTATAAATTGCAGGTACAAACAGTGCCAAGATCTCACATGTTCAGCTTAAATCCAATGAACGATTACATGATTGCTACCATATTGTTCAAATTTTATAGAACCAGTATGGTCACCCAATTCTTTTTTTTTTTTTTTAATACTGCGACTGCCAAAGTTTTATAAACTTACTCTTTTATAACAATATATAACTGGTGCACAAAGTTAATACAAGTATACAAGGATGCTGAAAAGAAAATCTGTAACTTACAAAATGTGAATGAGACATTCAGCTCCAGTTTATTACATATAAATTACTGATAATTAAAAAGAAAATTATTTAGTAGAGTTAACTGTCAAAACTGGTTAAAACTTTTATTGAAAAGGGATTAGTCATACATAAAGCAACAACTCTCATGACAACCGTCCTTTCCCACTGTAAGTTTTGTCATCCATTTGCAAAACAGTTGATCAGTTAATGAAGTAACAATGTGGATAAACTTTCAGCAGCTTACAAATTGAAGCTATTAGTGTAATGTTGATAAATGATCTGTCACATCGTGTGTTACACCCCATACAAGCTTACGAGTCTCTCACACCTTCTGGAGCCTTCCCAAACACCCATCAATGTTCTTCACAATGTTTTCCATCTTATTAGTATGTTTTGACTCCAATAATTATGCTTTGGTTACCTGGCACTTGTATTCACTTACAGTTATTTTCTTATTTCATCCTGGTACACAGAGCATATTAAATTATGTGAAAATGCAATATCTATTCCCAATAAATTATCAAAATATCATAATCACTGGTTTGGGTAATCTTCCTCTTCTTCTTTCCCACAGTACAGTCTTGTCATCATTGTCAAGGTCTACCACATGAATGGGATTGCGAATTGTTCATTTTTTTTCTTCCTTAAAAGATTTTTTTTAACATTTTCCCCCATCATGATCAAGTTAAACTGCAAGAACCTGGACCAGGTGGTCCACCACATCAAGGATTTTGTTTTGAAGACTTGGGCATATTGGAATATTGACTGTGGGGGACAGTCTGGATGTTGTACCAGTGCATATGTACTTCCTGCTTTCTGACATTGTAAGTACTAAATAAGATTTTAGAGTTCTATACCATTCATATTAGAGCTGAAGTCCCAAATATTTTTATACAGCATATTAACAGCTGTAACTTTAACAAAGTTACATACATAGATTAGTATCATATCTTTCATTTACTTGTACTTTGCCTGATATATCTATACTTGAAATATTATGATATTAAATTAACTTTCTTGAAAGATAAAACCATGTATTCTTGAGGATGAAGACAGAAAAAAAAAACAATCAAGAAAAGTCCCATCAAAAACTTTGCTCACATACACTGTTATGCAGTAACTTATACCTAAAACATCCTAAGGCGTCCTCACATTCCAACTTTCTAAAAAAACATATAAAGAAAAGTGAAAACTTAAAAAAATTCTTACCTGCTTTATCAGGATCTTTTGAACAGTGCCTTTTCCTCCCGCCACCTTATTATCACTTGTGGAGCTTCTGTAAGACCAAACAGATACTTAACTGAAAAAAAGCTGTTAAATCAACATTGCATGATTTGAACCCCTCCCCCTATTCTTAACAAACAGGTAACAAAATAAATACGTCAGCCCCTTACGTATTAGCACCAGAACACATTCAGAAACACATTGCTCAAATTCTTAAATATCCAAATCTAATTTTCTGTGTGACATTGATGTCTTTGCTCCCACAAAAGCATCAAAATTTGTATCAGCAAAAAAGATGTTTTCTTTTTTCAAAAAATATATTTTCTTTCCATTGAAGAGCTCCTCTTTTGTAGGCAATTCTTTGAAGTTTGCAATTAGGGAACCCATTCCACCCATTCTGATACTTTAGTTGCAAGTTCAAATTCAATAGAAAACTTTTAAAATCTATGGTGGTGTAACCCGAACCTTGCCACAAACATTTTACTTTAAATTTCACACTTGAAAAGACTCCACAGGTGTTAACTGATGGAAACGTGTCCAAGGTCCTATTATTTGAAGCAGTGGCTTTTTCTCTACACTTATTTAACAAACTGTGTACTATTTAACTTTGCTAACAAGGTGATGCCAAGGTAAAAAGCCCAATAACAAAATATCAGATATCTTCTCCAAATATTTTCAAAAATTATGTCATGTCAGATCTTACAAGGCTGTTAACAACACATGAACCAGGTCCCCAATGAAGCTACCCGTTCTTGATGTTGACAAGATGTGGCGAATAGTTCAAAAGTAAACACAGGAGGTGTTTATGCACGCGTTGGGCCAGTGTTTCTCCCACAATGCAACAATCAAATACATCATGGGGTCACATCTAAGGTGAGATGAAAGAGCATGCCGCATCAGGGTCCAAGATGGGGATCAGCCCCTGAGCACATGACCAGTAGTTGAATATTAACACCACTCATGTGGTGATCGAAAAAAAAAAAAAAATGCTCCTTGATTGCAATCATGGATAAGATAATGTCAGCCAGTTATTTTGTTGAAAATGGCAGGGCATACTGAATTAAACATCTAAAGTGCACTAAAATAAAAGTTTTAACTGTTGGTCTATAGCATTTATTTATTTTTTTTTAATTTTGCAAATCGGGTCCATTGTTCTTATTTTTAAGGCAGACTACCATTGATTTTATCGAAGACTAATCTGTGAGCTCCTATGTTAACCTGGCAGCTGCATACATACATACATACATACTACATACTAAATATATGATAAAAATAATTAATTCATTACTTCTAAAATTT